AAGTTAGCTGGGCATGACAGCACATGCCTACAGGCCCTCAGGAGGCTGAGGCAGAAGGATTGTATGAGCTCAGGAGTTGGAGGCTAAACTGATTGTCCCACTGCACTCCAGCCTGGGTGATAGAGTGAAACCTTGTCTCTTAAAAAAAAAATTATAGACCATTTTGGTAAAGACAATTTGATCAAATTATGTAAAAGGATTTAACTGAAATGAAAAATTTGAGTAATAATGTTTGACAATACCTGATTTATTTATGTATTTGAGTTGGAGTCTCACTCTGTCACCTAGGCTGAAGTGCAGTGGCTCAGTTGATCCTTCCTATTCAGCATTCCAAGTAGCTGGAACTACAGGCAAGTGCCACCTGCCACCATGCCCGACTAATTTTTTGAGTTACTATAGAGATGAGGTCTCATCACATTGCACAGGCTGGTCTTGAGCCCCTGGGCTCAGGTAATCCTCTTGCCTCCACCTCCCAAAGTGCTTGGATTACAGGCGTGAGTCACTGCTCTCAGCTGACAATACCTGATTTCTATCCAGTAATTATCTGAATGTATCCAACTGTAGGGTATTATTTATAAATATCTAAATTAATGGAGTAGCCATGTAAAGTGCTATCTTGACAAATTAGTACATAAAATATGATTTAATTGTTGATTTTAAAGGTTATGGATCTAATGGACATAGTGAAAAATGTGTATTGAAGAATATCTGGAGAGCTAAAATCCTGGCATTAACCACAGTAATAAATTGTTAAGATTCTTTCATTAAAAACAAAAATTGTGACGTGAGCTTCCTTCCTTCCTGAACAAGTCATGTTGGGACTCACAGGAAGTCCTTTTTTTTTTTCCAAATTAGAAGATTTTATTGAGCGATGCACAGGAGCAACTCCCTTGAATCCCCTCCCACTGTGGGAGTTTTTCTGTCCTCTCAATAAATCCTGCTTTCTAAAAAAAAAAAAGGAAAGAAAGAAAGATTCGCAGAGAACCCAGTCAGTTATGAGAGCAAACATAAAGGTTCCAGAATTCTGCTGAGATTGAGCAGAAGCTGAATATTCCTCTGAGATTCTGAAGCCTGATGTAGGTAGCTCCAGATGATCTTGGTTGTCCAGGGGCTGAGGGGCAGGTCAGGAGCCTGGCCCTGGGCAGCAGATCAGTAGCACCAAGAGAACCTGTGTCTCCTGTGGCACAGTGGATGGCAGCCACTGTCCAGGCTACCATAGTCGCCGCCACTGTAGCTTGTGATTGTTGGGATAGTGACATAGTTGCTGTTCCTGGTAGGGTCCTGGGTGTGAAGTCCATGTCTGACCAGGGATGTATATGGACCTGGACAGAACATGGGATGACATGCATGCCTGTTTCAGCACCCCCTGTGTGTGGCATTCACAATCCTGCCACTTGCAGAGGCTGTAGGCTCACTGCCAGTGTGAGTTGTGTTGCAGCCTGGTGGTGGTGCCGCTCGACATACCATGTCCTTCTTATGGGAAGGAATTGCTGCGTCTTCAAATTCTGGACATGCTAGACCCTGGATGGAATCCTTCAGCGCCAGGCTTATTCCAAAAGATGTCTGAGGTCGCGGTGTTCCTTACAGTGGAGGGTTTCATTTGCATTTAGGGAAATTGGCTGAATTCAAGCCTCTAATGTGTCAAAGCCTTTTTGCTGTCAGAAGGTTTTAGTGGGTTTTTTTTTGACATTTTCCCCCTACAAACTAACATGGCTCTAAAGTCTCTTGGCTGGGAAATCTGGAGTGGAATCTCCATCTGTGACTTTCCACCTGGGTAGACTATGGCCTCTGTCAAGCCTGCCCAGTCTGGTCTCCGTGGATCACTGCCTTTGCCATGCATGGCTGGAGTTTGCAGTGATGGCCCGGCCCAGCCAACAGGGAAGGACAGAAGCATATCATGTTTGGGCTGAACAGTTTGGTGTTCCTGAATCCTTGGAGCCTGGTCCCTCCTGAGCCTGAATCCCTCCCCCTCATAGCCACCTTGGCTGAAATTGGTATCTTCCTCTTCTGCCCTGCTGTTTGCAGCTGGTTTCCATGGTCAATCACTGAGCAGGGTGGATCAGAGGACCTGAGGAGGCCAATCAGCCTCCTCCTGCACCCCACGACTTCCCCAGAATCTCAGTCTGGCCCGCGTTCCTCCTCCTTGAGAACAGACTCTACTCATACCTCCCTTGCAGCTATAGTGGCCATGACCAGTGTACATCCTTGGTGGGGCTGCCGGACATACCCTGAGGGCTCTGACCTGGGGAGAGGGACCTCAAGGAAGACCTAGAAAAGGGGATGTCTGGAGTCGCCTGGAGTGGCTGTTTTTCCAGGCTGCTGCATTGGTGGGTAGAAGGAAAAGCCTGCCCCTTCTGCAGGCTCTGATGTAACCAAACCTTAGTCTTCCCCATGAGATGCTGGTTAAGAAAGGGCATCTTGGGGAGGGGGAAGCATGTAACCTTATGGAGGGACAAGATGCCGTGAGCATCTGAGGTTCCAGGCTGATCACAAGTGCATCATTCAGTGGGCCCTGGGGTCCCTTGCTGCTGTGACAAGAAGAGAGGCTCCCATATGAAAGGACTCTAGGTTGCATGACAGGTAGGTTGGTGGATAGCACAGCCTAGGAAAGGACCAGGAGCAAAGCCTCAGGCCTGACTCCTAGCAGACACTCAGTGCAGTTGAGCCAGGAAAGGACAGGACCATGTGCGTGCATGGGCAGAGATGGGGGAGGGGTGCAGCAGGGAGGGAGGACCTGGAGTGGGGAGATATTCCAGCCATCCATTTGCAAGGCTAGCTGAGAACAAACAGGCACCACCCAAGAGGCTGAGGCAGCACTTCTGCAACAGCTAGGCTGTTACCATCCTGCCTGGGCCCCAAGCATCTTCAGAGACACTGAGGGTCTGCTGAGGACCAGGCTGGCAGGACCACACAGCTGAAGAGTGATGTGTAACTCCCCATGATGGTACTCAGGGACTCCTGGGATGGCATGGCTGCCCAAGCAGATCCATCCTGGAGTCACTGCAAATGGGCACTGCACCCCAATTTCTCACACCCCAAGCAACTCCTTGGGCTTCCTCGAGCTAGATGACAGCTAATGACCGGTAATGACAATTATTGTTCTTTTCCAAACCACAAACATCTTCTAATGCTTTCATGTTAAAAGTTGGGGTGGACCCCTCATCACACTCATTTAAAAGGCCCCGTGGGGACTTTTTTTGGTAGAAAAATAAACAATTTCTTGTAACAAGTACTGAAACCCTTGGCCCGGCCACTGAGGTCTCATTCCTCATTTTTGTTCTAAGTTTGGGCCTGAGGAGTGAGGACCTCACATAACAGTCTTGAATGACCAGACATAGCAGGCCCTGACCAACCCTGGGACACCAGGGGACTCTGCCTAGGAAGGGAAAGGGCATTTGCTGCAGCTCTGGGGTGGACACTGTGTCCCAAGGGCAAGGCCAAGATGCCCACCCCACTTCTCTGGACATGTGCCACCCTGGTTACCTGGCAGCTTCCTTCCCAAAACCTCCTGGAAACAGAAAACTGCTGGATTCATTCTGGGTGTCAACGTGGAGACCATGTGAGGGGTCAGGACCACAGCTGCTGGGAGATGCTCTCTCAAACTACTTGACAGTTCTGCTCAGAAGGATACTGGTGACCAGGTAGTGAGGCCATGTCTGCTGGACACGTGTGCCTTCAACCTGCTGAGGCTGTGTTCCTGCTTCTCACACTGCACACTCAGGAGCCCTGGAAGCTTCTGTAACCAGCCCAGCGCTGGCCCGGGAAGCAGCCTTTCTTCTGGCAAAAATTCCACCTAGGCCTCCTTGGAAGGGCAGCTTAACCAAATGCATGGGTTTTTTCCCATGCATGAATATCTTAGAGGAGAATGAAGTCCATGGGGGTCTCCAGGGTTCTTCAGTGTTGAGTGCTTTCTGCATTTGTACACACATGTGCGCGCGCACACGCACACATGTACACTCACATACGTGGATCCTGTGCCTGTGAAGTGGAAGGTGGTACAGGAGTGCCCAGGATAGCAGGGGGTCCCTGCATTTGTGTTGCCCACAAACACCCTGGGGCAACCCCACCAGCACAGAGGCTGCCCTGGTAGAGGGTGGTGCCCACTCTTCTCTGAACCAGTCTCCCTTCCTTCAGTCTCAGAGTCTCACATCCCACCAAAAGGCGTATGTCCCACAGTGAGCTGGGTACTGGAAAGAGCCTGGCGCTGGATTGCACATGCTCCAGAGTTCCGGGTGGGGGGAGCCTGTCGCCAGGTCCCTTCCTGTGGGTTAGGCAGTGAGGGTGGGAACCTTCTCACATGAGGGCACCTGTCTTTGGTGCAGCTGATGCTTTTGAAAGGGCGTCAGTCTGGGATCAGGGCAGTGCCAGAAGGTTCGCTTTGGAGCCTCACTGAGGTCCTCCCAGGGGGCACCTGAGAGCTGGGAGGTGCCTGCCCAAGTCCATTCTCAAGCTGCCGTGTGCTGTGGCCCGCTGGCATCTCACAGAAGCCCTGTCCACATCCAGGTGGTGAGCTTTTGTCAAACATGGCCTAGAAGGAAAGAGAAGAACAGGGAGGAGCAAGAGATGGATCTTCATTTTGGGGGCAAGAGATGGATCTTTTCAGTACTCGGCCTGGGGAAAACAAAGGGCTTAAATTTTGGAAGCAGCTGCCTGCTCCGTGTGCTTCATTGGACTCTGATAAGGACAGTCCGGTCCTGATTTAAGCAGTCTGAAATTGGCTGGCGTGGCCTGGAAAGTATGTCTCCTGCAGACATAGCTGGCCACTGATTCACCTGTGTCCACGGGCCATGCCACTCTGTGGTGGCAGTACACTACCTGAGGCTGCCATCTCTGGGAGCAATTCTCACTGGTAGAAACATGGGGTCAGAGAGGTGCAGCCACCAGACACAGGCTGGTCTGATCGCAAGCCTGATAGCCCCGCAGCCCAAGCCACTGCTAGGTGGGCAGTGGGCAACACCAAGTGGATACTTTTCCCTAATAAGACCCATATGAGCTGTTGCTCACAGGACTGTGAGCACACACCCCCTCCACCGGGCCACCCGAGAGTCACAGCAACCACTGCTGTGACCCAGAGAAGCAATTGGTGTCTGGCTACTGTAGACACCCCCATGGGGTGCTGACAAGGGGGGCATTCAGGCAAGGGTAATAGCTCACATCTCTGCTTTTTGCATGTTCAGAAAATCCTGTCACACAGTGCTAGTAATGTGGATGATGGCAGGACTCCATTCCCCAAAGAGGTGGGAGGAAATGCCGCAGGCACCATGGGAGATCTCACCATGCCTCCGGAAGTAACAGGTGTTTAAGGCAAAGAACTATGACAGTGGCCCCCAGCCACGCCTGCCTCAGGCCCCCAGCAACCTACTGTCCTGGAGAGGAAAACTCACCGGTGAGCTCCAGCTCTCGCCTTGAAGCCCAGGCACCTGTGGACAGACCAAAAGAGGTTCAGGGATGGCCATGAAGGGAGTAGCTCTAAAGATCCCAATGGTCCCAAGCCCTTGGCAGCCCCTACAACCCTGCTTTATGTCTCCCCAAGGCTTCCTTCCAGGTGGGGATAAACTTGAAGGTGAGGATCTCACAGGCCACCTTGTTTTTGAGGAAGATGCTTTATAAGGGGTGAGAACACAGGAAGCATGTAAGATGCCATGACCTGGCTCCGGGACCCTTGCACAGCTGGCCAGGTCAGCAGTGGGGCTGTGGCAGTGGGAGATGTTTCTGGGATGACTGGGATTGGCCACAGACAAGAAGCCCAAAGTTAGCATTCGGGAGCTGACCCTGATATGCAGCCAGCCCGTTCTGCTAGCCGCTGCCCTGGCAGGAGTCCCCGCCTGGTTGTGAGGACCAACGCAGTGGCCCATGCCTGGGAGGGCTCCACCTCCACCTTACGTTCTGCTGCTACATCTTAATGGTTAGAACACAGCCCTTCTGTCCTGGAGTGCACCAGAGTCTCAGAGCCCCCACCATGGTGGTGATTCAAAGCAGCCTCAGGAGCTTCCACAGACATGAACGAGAGCCGTTCTGGCCTCTAAAGGCAAAATGCACCCTTTTCGCCCAACCTGGGAGTCTGGGCTTCTCACCGCGCCTTTTTGGCTTGGCTGTCAGGGAAACAGCAACTAAGAGATCTATGCAGGACTTTAAACCCACTTCCCAGGCCAGGCGCAGCAGTTCATGCCTGTAACCCCAGCACTTTGGGAGAGATTAAAGACCATCTGGGCAACACAGCAAGACCTTGTCTCTACAGGAAAAAAAAAAAAAAACCAGAAAAATTATCTGGTTGTGGTGGCTCACACCTGTAGTTCCAGGTACTCGGGAGGCTAAGGCGGGTGGATCACCTGAGCCAGGGAAGTCGAGACTGTGGTGAGCTGTGATTGTGCCACTGTTCTCCAGCCTGAGCGACAGAGTGAGACCCTGACTTAATAAATAAATAAATAAATAAATAAATACACACACCCAATTCCTTGAACTGTTTGAGTTGCTACCACTCATGAATAGTAACTCCACCAAAACTAAGTTTTCAAATGAAACCAACATTGGTTAGGGAGATTTAAAGAGGCAAAATGTGCATGCCAAAAAAATTAATCTGGAGCACGTACAGCACAAGTCTTGCTTCTTCTACCTGTATAGCCTCCGCGGGAACATTTGCCCTTGCATATCCAGCCTACAGCCACGGCCGCCAACACACACAAAACAGCCAGGACACTGAAAACGGCCACGTTTTTCTCCTTGGGGGAATTGTCTGGGTTCTCTGTGACCTTGTCTTTGGTTCCAGGGGAAGTTTCTACAGGAAAGAGGAAAATAACACAAGACTTAAAGCATCTTGGAGGAAAAGGGTCTTTTTTTTCATCCTGAAGAGGAGAGTACTGCAAGGAAGTAGAAAGAACTTCCCCAACATTGTTTTGTGATTTTTAAAATACAAGGTTTTTGCTGGGCATAGTGACTTGTGCCTGTAATCCTAGCACTTTGGGAAGCGCAGGTGGGAGGTTTGCTTGAACCCAGGAGTTCAAGAACAGCCTGGGCAACATAGCAAGATCTCGTCTTTACAAATTTTTTTTTTAAATTAACTGGGCCTGGTGGTGCACACCTCTAGTCCCAGCTGTTCAGGAGGCTGAGGTGGAAGGATCACCTGAGCCCAGAAGGTTGAAGGTTGAGGCTGTGATAAGCTGTAGTCGTGCCACTGCACTCTAGCCTGGGAGACAGAGTAAGATTCCCATTCAAGAAAACAGAAGGTTGGTGAGAGGAAGGTTTTCTCTTATGAGGGACATCATCTCCTCCAGGGGTCTTGCTCCTCCCCATCCTATCTTGGGGAGGTGCAATCCCACCCCCAGCCAAGGGGTCCATGTGGAGGGGCATGGCTGGAGGCACAGGTTCTCCCTGGAATTCTAAAAATAAAGGTGAAATTTATATAATATAATTCCTTTTTTGACTCCGAGTTTCACTCTGTTGCCTGTGCGGTGGCATGATCACAGCCTCTGCAACCTCGACCTGCTGGCTCCGGTGATCCTTCCACCTCAGCCTTTCAAGTAGCTGGGACTACAGGCACGCCACCACACCTGACCAATTTTTTGATTTATTGTAGAGAAGAAGTCTTATTATGTTGCCCAGGCTGGTCTCAAATCCCTGAGCTCAGGCAATTCTCTTGCCTCAGCCTCCCAAAGTGAGGCGTGAGCCACTGCACTCAGTTAACATACAATTTTAAAGTGAGCAATTCAGTGGAATTTAATGCATTCACAATGTAGTGCAATAGTCACTGTTATCCAATTCCAAAACATTTTTATCACTCCAAAAGGAAACCTCGTGCCCATCAGTAATCACTCCCCCAGCTCCTGTCCCCTAGCCTTTGGAAGCCTCTAACCTGTTTTCTGTCTCTGTGGATTTGTCTACTCTGTAAACTTTGTGTGAACAGAATGATACATATATGGTCTTTTGTGACTGGCTTCTGTCACTGGGCTTAATGTCCTCAAGGTTCGGCCACATTGTAGCATGTGTCAGTACAAGCACATCCTTCTTTTAAAAGAATGAAGGAATACCCCATCGTATGGCTGGATCACATTTTGTTTATTCATCCATCCTTTAGGGACACTGGGTTATTTCCACTTTCGGCTGTTGTGAATGGTGCTGCTGCGAACATTCACATCCAGGTACTTGTCTGGATCCCTTGTGTGAATCCTTTGGTGTGTATTCCTAGAGGCACTGCTGGGCCACATGGTGGTTCTATGTTTAACCACCTGATGAACCACCACTCTCTTGTCCATGGCAGCTGCACTCCTTACCTTTCCACCAGTAATGCACGAAGGTTCCAGGCCCTCTTGTCTCTATATCCAATGCCTTTGTCTCACAGAGAATGATGCTCACAGTAAAAATAAGCCACAGCATTCCCTGGGAGCTGGTTACAAAGGCCCAGCATGTCTCAAACACACATGGAGAAACCAACACTTGGACAGTAGCTCAACCCAGAATGTGCCCTGGAGTTATCTGAAGCTTTTCAACACTGTCTCAGTGCTGGTGCCAGTCCAGAGGTTCTGACCCAACAGGTCTGGGCACGGAGGGGTTTCACAGACTGCCCAGATGATCCCACTGTGCAGCAGGGTGAGAACCTTCTGCCGCTGCCTGTCCATGCAGCTCAGAAATTGAGACCATGAAGTCACAAGGGCTACACTCCCACTTCAGGAAGGAGGGTGTCCAGTCCTGCAAGGGACCTGGGTAGTCAGGGTGGGCTTCAAGGGAGTGCCCTTGTGCAGGCTCCTGGGGTCACCTCTGAGGGCCAACACTTGGTGCAATGCTTCAATGCTTGCCATTACTGTCTGGAATTGTTTTTTTTTAATTGAAGTCTTACTATGTCGTCCAGGTTGGAGTGCAATAGCACACTCACGGCTACCGCAGCCTCAACCTCCTGGGCTAAGGTGATCCTTCCATCTTAGCCTTCCAAGTAGCTGGAACTACAGGTGTGCACCACCATTTCTCGCTAATTTTTTAATTTATTGTAGACACAAGGTCTTGCCAAGTTGTCCGGGTTGGTCTCGAACTCCTGGACTCTGGTAATGGGGACACAGTTGGAAAGAGCCTGTGGCCTCTATGAAGGAGTGGCCTCTATGAAGGAGTCACTGCCTACACACCTTCCCTATGGAGGACCTGGGCCAGCAGGATTGCCCAAGGGGATTCTTTTTTGGGGGTTCCAGTCTTCTCAGGGGCACACGTATACCCAGAGCCAGAGAGCTTGGGTAGGGGCTGCACAGGTGTGGGCTTCTGTCCTAACACTGTTGCTACTTAGTTGTGCAACTTCTGAAGTGCTACCCAGCCTCAGAGCTTCAACCTTCATCTGTAAAATGGGTTCAACCTAACTGATTCCACAGGTGCAGATGAACTGAGCGATGTGCATTGGGCCTGGAGTCTGTTTCTGTCCTCAGACACGGTGTCCCCAGACACTGTGGTGGTTTCCTTTTTTTTTTTCCCTTGACTCAGAGTCTCACTCTGTCACCAGGCTGGAGTGCAGTGATGCAATCAATCATGACTTGCCGCAGCCCTGACCTTCTGAGCTCAGGTGATCCTTCTGCTTCAGTTTCCCAAGTAGCTGGGACTACAGGCACATGCCATCACACCTGGCTAATTATTTGACTTTTTATAGAGATGAGGTCTTGCTATGTTGCCTAAACTGGTCTCGAGCACCTGGACTCAAGCATTCCTCCTGCTTTGACCTCCCAAAGTGCTGGGATTACAGGTGTGAGCTACCACGCCCAACCATGGTGGCTGATTCTCACCCTTTCTCCCTTTCAACCACCTTTCTGATGCCACCGCTGAGTCAGCTTGTAGGAATCATGTCTTCTGCCAGAGAGGGTCTCCCAAGGCATTACCAGTCTCACCATCTTGGGCTGGGTTTGGCTGCAGACCCCAGGGAACTTACCTGTCTGACTGCTGACAGTCAGGTTTTGGTGCAGAAGCACGTTCTCTATGCAGCAGCCAACATTTACATTGGGGGTCTGTGGGATCCTCAGGATGCTGACCACATCATACAAGCCCCGCTCGTTCAAGGTCATGGTGTCATTCTGCAAAGCCTTGTCCAGCAGACTGTTGTCAGTCTTGTTGATCCAGTACACATTTGGTCTCGGGTAGCCATTGGTGGATGTGCATGTGAAGGTGAGCTCCTCATCCTGGGAGGGGCTGCTGGGGGTGCTGACCACGGGCATGCTGTAGTTTGCTGCAGGGAAAGAAACAGGTGGTGAGGGAAATCAGGTCAGGAAACAGAGGGGTACAGGTCAGGAACGGACAGGTCAGAGGGGAGGCAGCCTGCCATGCCAGACCCTGCTGGGGGGCAGGATCAGGCTGTCGTCTGAACTGCAGGCACAGTCTTATCGTGCCTCCAGACAGTCCCTACAGACAGGAGTGGCTGAGTCTGGCAGGCAGTGACTGACCCTCACAGGCCCCCACTCCAAGGAGGTGGGTCATCTCAGACCCCCCCCTCATTGGGAGCTAGTACTTCTTGCTGGTGACTGGAGAGCCTGAATTTCCAAAATGGATGCCACTTATCTTCCCAGTGACTCAACTGTCTGTGCTCTTCGGTCACCTTAAATTGTTTCTTAAATTCTGATCTTATTTGGTGCACATAGCACTTCCTTCTAATTTCATTCTTTCTTTTTAATAAAACACAGAAATGAGATTTTGCTATGTTGCCCCGGCTGGTCTCGACCTCCTGGACTCGAGCAATCCTCTTGCTTCGGCCTCCCAACATGCTGAGATTACAATGTAAGCCACCATTCCCGGCCCTAATTTCACTCTTAAAAATCTAGTTTTAGTTGGAGTTCAGGCAAAGATAGCAATATGAGGGGTTCTTCTGGGAAGTAAAGAAGCCCTGTGCATGGAAGACTCCCTCGTGCACTGAATGCTTTTTAACTGTTCTGCTTCACACCAGGTTAGACAGAAGTTCATTCATGGAGGTGAGGGTTTTCGTTACAGAAAGAGGTGAATGAACCAGGAAGGGAATGTGTGAACATTTTTTCCAGGAGATGAGTCTGGAGAGGAACCACTCTCTCTGCCTGGACGGTCTTACCTGCCACATGCAGCCTGATCACTTCTTTCAAGACCTGATTTAACTTTAAGGATTTCCTGAACACCAGGCAGTTGAACTTCTGTTCATCGTGGGGGGTGATGTTGGACAGGTGCAGGGAAAAGTCACCCTGCCTCATGCCGGCCTGTGATAGCCAGGCACGGTCCCGGTAGCGGCTGTCCACGTGGCTCAAGGATTTGTTCTCCGGCAAGAAGTAAGTCACTGCCGTTGTTTCACTGATTTGCCAGTAAACAAAAAGATCATCTAAGTCAAAACTGCTCCCCTCGGGGCTCATGCAGCTGAGCACAACATCGCTGCCCACCATGGCTCTGACTTCTTTTTCTTGAATATCTGCAATTATCCAAAGAGGATACACTTTAGTTTTTGAGGCTGTTGCTTAGCCCATGAAGTTACTCTCAGGTAGGCTTCTTTTTTGTTGTTGTTGTTGCTGTTTGTTTCTTTTCCTTTTGTTTTTTTTAGTTGGGGTCTCACTCTGTTGCCCAGGCTAGAGTGCAGTGACAATGATCACAACTCACTGTAGTCTCAACCCCTGGGCTCAGGTGGTCCTCCCGCCTCAGCCTCTCGAGGAGCTCGGACTACAAGTGCATGCCACCATATCTGGTTAATTTTTAAAAATTTTTTGTGTAGACGAGGTCTTGCTATGTTGCTCAGCTGGTCTCAAACTCCTGGGCTCAAGCAATCTTTCTGCCTTGGCCTCCCAAAGTACTGGGATTGCAGGCATGAGCCACCACACCAGACTGGTTTCTTGGTTTTGAACCTCAAAACACCAGCTCTGACCCAGAGGGTCAGGACCATGGTTATGCCCATCACAGAAATGTGAATGCACCACTGGAGCCTGCCTGCCTCTGCTCTCCACAGGGAATTCAGGAAGAAGGGCCAGGGTCATTATCAATCCAACGTTCCCCCGCCAACCTAGTACAGCAAGTCCTGAGGGACTGGCAGCCCCTGGTCACCCACCAACTATCACAATGACAAAATCCCTCAATAAACAATGGTGAGAATGTGACCACCAAGAGCCACCACCATGGCCGCGATCCTTGACCCACTGTAGGTCTGGTCTTTCTGAGGATGGATTCCAAGGAATTGTAGGAAATCAGAGGGGAAAAAAGCTTTCAGGAGATGCATAGCAGGAGCTTCGTGCAAAATGGTGGGGAGACAGAGATCATCTGACATGCCTGTGGCAGTCAGGTGCATAGCTGGACAGCATGGCGGGACCTGCCACACCTCTGGGGCTCTGACTTTGCAACATACAGAGAAAAACAGTAATACTTTGAAAATTCACACATTTAGTGGTAAACAACTCCACTGTATGGTCCGATGCCAATTTTTGGCTTTGAGAATGCATTTCTGTTACATCAAGGGTTGCCACTGGGAGCAGCTGAAGGATGGGGACCTAGGCCACTCCGTACTATTTTTGCTACTTTTTGGGAGTCTGTAATGAATGAAAAATGCAAAGTTTAAAAAATTCATACATTTAAGTCAAGTGCAGTGGTTCATGCCTGTAATCCCAGGATTTTGGAAGGCGAAAGTGAGAGGATTGCCTGAATCCCAGGGTTCGAGACCAGCTTGGGCTACTTGGCAAGACCTTGTCTCTATAATAAATCAAAAAATTAACCAGGCATGGTGATGCACACCTGTAGTTCCTGCTACTTGGAACTGAGGCGGAAGGATCGCTTGAGCCCAGCAGGTCAAGGCTGTGATGGCCGTGAGCGTGCCATTGCACTCCAGCCTGGGCAACCGAGTGAGACTCTGCCAAAAAAAAAAAAAATACATTTAAAGGAAATGCTGCCTCAAAAATGAAATTATAATGCTACTCACATTCAGCAGGAAAGGTCATGTAACATATGCAGGGTGGTTTTCCATTCATACAACCACTTAAATGCCTATAGGAAAAATGGTTGGGTCCCCTTTCCCCAAAGCAACCTGGGCTGGAAGGTTCTGCAAGGCCTCAGGTCTCTACTGCGGTGCCCTGTCCCTATTCCTGGGTGTCCCTGTTGCTGGCTCTTGCAGAAGCTGATGGCATTAAGGCTCAACAGGGCTGCTGAGGCACAGAGGAAGCCCCAGCTTTGAAGAACTATGTTCTGCCTACACCAAATGAAATCAATTAATACTATGGGGTTTGGAAAAGTGCTTTCCTCTAAGGAAATGCTTTTAGTCCTACACATCAATCCAAGCATAGGGCCCAGTTTTTCTACAGAACCCCTCAAGAAGAAGGGCCCTTGAGAGGTCACTCCTGATGCCCTGTAGCCGGAAGTCCGCATGACTGGGCAGGGAAGGGTTCAGAAGCTCATCTCTAAGCTGGGTGCCCACACCCGTGGCAAAGCAGCACCTGAACTTACCAGCTTGCAGGCCGCTGAGCAGCAGGAAGAACAGCCCAGGACTGAAAAAAACAACCAGAAAGGCTGGTGAAACAGGGCTGCAGATGAGTTACCTGCGTTTTCCAGAGAGAAGCAGGCTGGTTCCCATGGGCAGGAGGTGGTAATGCCCATCTCAGAAATGTGAATATACAATCGGAGACCACCCGCCTCTTTTCTCCACAGGGAAGCCAGAGAGAAGGGCCAGGACCACTACCACCACCCTCCCCCTTCCCCCACAGCACAGCAAGTCCTGAGGACCTGGTAGCTCCTGGCTGTTTGCCAGCTCCCAGGTGACAAAACCCCCAAAACACAATGATGAGAATGTGATGATGAAAGGGAGCAAGAGCCAACACCACTGCCACAGTCCTTGACACCCTCCCCCCCATCCCCATCCCATAGGCCTAGCCTTTCTGGGAATGGATTCCAAGGAATTGTAGGAAATCGGGGAAAAAAGCTTTCAGGAGACATGTAGCCGGAGCTTCATGCAAAATGTGGAAGAGACAGAGATCATCTGACATGACCGCAGCAGGGTCAGGTGTGTGGCTACACAGCTTTATGGAGGAACAGGATCATTCTGAAACCAACTTGGTGGGTTCCTCATGTTTCAGATCCTGCAGCAACGCTGTCCCCTTTGCCTACCTCCCCTCCCCTGTCTTCTCTGCCAGAAAATCCCTCTCACAACTTCCAAGTGTCTACCCATTTCCAAGGCTCCTCCCACTTCCAGGGCAACACCCATCCTCCCGTCTGTCCTGGAGACCCTTTGGACCCTGCTGGCCTCAGGCTCCCCCTGCCATTTCCTCCTGCAGGACTCCAGGACACCTCTGCTGGACAGGGCTCCTTGTGTTTGCATCTTTGCTCATCAATGATCATGGCCACTTCAGTCCCAGAGCTTGCCCAAGCTCCTCAAATCACCTGTTTCTGGGGCCAGTTCCCCACGAGGCGGAAGCCCCCTGCAGCATGGCCCTGGGGCAGCTCCTTCCCTGAATCTCTAATGTCTCTGGGAGACTCTCAGCCCTCCTCTCTTGGGTCACTGCCTGGGAAACCGCAAGGGCTTGATAGGTCAAAGGACCTGTCTTGTGGGAACCTGCCAGCTAGCTCTGGAGCCACAGAAACCCCTGATTCTCCCAGGATGCTGTCATCTGAGTCTGCATGGAGGCCTGCTTCATGCTGACCCATCACACTGCACCCAAGCCAGTCCCTGGGCCACCAGCAACTCCCATGGCCTGTGGGCAGGCCTGTCCTCTCTCTCCCACTTTTCCTGTTGGGTCCATCATTCCTGCTTTTGAGACTGCTGTGATAACCTCCATCTGGGCCTTCCCACTTCCAGTCTTTACTCTCTCAGTCATCTCCCAGGAGTTAGAACTACAAAGCTGTGAAAATTCCTTTGAGGCCCCCGTTTCTCTCCTACGGCACCCATGTCCACTGGGGGCTCATGAGGCCCACCCTGTCTGTTGGACCTCCTTAGACATCTGGGGGATTCCTAGGGGGCAGGGGTGCGTGCTCTGGGCTCTGGTGGGGGAGACCAGTTTGCCCCTTTCCCTAGCTGCTGCGTGCTCAGTGGCCTGTGTCCTCTCCTTGTGCCCTCACCGACCCCTGTTGTTTAAGCTGCTCCACCCAAGTTGGCCATCAGACTCCCACAGACAGAGTCTCCTGTTCTAGCTTTCACGTAGCTGATAGCTGTGACATTCCAGGATTTTTATTTTTTTCTCTGTTGAGGAGAGGATCTTAACCACATACATTTCTAAGTGTGGGGTGGATACTTAGTGAGTCTTGGGTGTGGGCAGACGGTCTGTGTGGGTGGCACACACTCATACTAGGGCTGGGTATTGGGTACCTCACCAGTTCACCGTGGAGACCTGGGCTGCAGATCTTACAACTTGCTCTGAAGGGAGTCTTTTGGCAAAAGGCCAGGGAGGAAACGTCCCCCTCCCCTCAGCTACTCCCCAGCCCCGCCTTCACCAGCGTGGATCTATCGGTGGTGGGGGGAATCCCACGTGTGGGGGGAGGGCGTGTCACCAAACGGTCGGCACCAGCCGGCCCTGAGCCATCACAGCTAGCACATCCTTCCTCCTGCTACCTTCTGGGGAGTCAGCGGGGGCGGGAGTGGAAGGGCGCGCCAGTGCCAGGGTGGGGTGTGCACCCTTTCTCCTGACAGCATTAGCCGCTGTGCGTTTCTGCGCGGGGACTCCGCCCCCACGCACGCCCACGCGCCGCCCGTAGTACGTTAGTCCCCGCCGCGGGCCTCGCGCTGCCTCCTGCAGTTCAAGCCCTCCCGGCGCGCCCTGCCCGCCCTGCGCCTCCGAGTGATCCCAAAGAGCCCCGCGTCGGGGCAGACGGGAGCCGGAGTCCAAGGGCGCGGTGCTGTCGGCCACACTCCGGGCCGGGACATCCCGCGGTGTTCCCGCTCCTTCCTGGGCACCCGCAGCGTCTGTCCGCAGCCCGACTCACCTTCTCAGCCGCATGGCGAGGGCGGACACCTTCAGCCGCAAGGGGCCCCGGAGCGCTGAGAACTTGGACCGTGGGGGTCCTCGGGCGCGGAGATCTCGGAGCACGGGAGCCCGCTCCTGACTGCGCTCTCGCGGCGCCTCTGGAGCTCTGACCTCTCAGAGCTCGAGAGCTGAATGCAGCCGTGAACTGAATGCAGTCTTGTCCCCTCCCCCGCCCCGCCCCCAGCTTGGCTCTTTGGGCGACCGTGACCACCCCCTGGGTGGTGGCGGCGCGCGGCGAGCGGAAAGTCTGCCACCGACTCCAGAAAGCTGAACTCTGCCGGGACAGTGTGCCGGGCGGCCGGGGCGGGAAGAGCCGGGTCTGCCTGTCCGCCGCCCGAGGGCCTGGGCGCCGTAGGTGCCCGGGGAGGGGTGTGCAGCACCCAAGAGGAAGGCAGCCGGTGTGCCGCGGGAGAGGGACAGAGTGCTGTCCCCAAGGCCACGCAGCTGTCCTCTGGCCGGTCCGCCGAGCCCCTCCTCTGTGAACGAATCACGGCCCGAGGTCCAGGGCGCAGGCTGGGCTGGCGTCAGGCGCCCCGACTCCGCCCCCGCCTTCTCTGAGGCCTGGAGTCTGGAGGTATCTCAGGCCTTAGGTGAAGTGAGCCGAATGGCTGCTGAAGAATGAATGAATAAGTGAATGAATGCGTGAATGAATGGAGGGAAGGCAAGAGGGCTCAACCCAGGCAGTCCGAGTCCCCAGTGCTCCCTCGGCTTGGCGGATCTGAAGGGCCAGGTGGCGCGGATATTTGCATATCAAAGCTCTGGGGAGCTTTCTGCTTGGAAGCGCTTTGCCCCTCCAAGCTTGTCCGGCTTTGGCTCTGCCCGACCTGGTGTTTGGAGCATGGTCTGGGAAAGGCTGTCCTGGGCAGCGGAGTGTGGGTCCCAGACCCCTTGTTCCCTCCTCATCCAGCCCAGCCCACTCCCCTGTTCCCTGCCAAGTTAGTGCCCCCTCCCTCTCAGCCGGGTAGTGCCCAGGAGGTGAGACCTGGAGGGGACCAGGTTCCCTCCCAGCAGGGGCTGTCCCTGAAGGGGCGAGGATGCGGCTGATGGAGACAACAGCAGCGGCAGCCCCTGCCCCTCCTCCTGGGCACTCCCACCCTTGGTCTGGAGGCTTGAGTCCCCACAGCTTGCCGCCAGCCGGGGTGAGCAGGGCTAGCCCTCGGGGAAGCAGGAGGAGGCTGGGAGACCCAACACTGCCGGAAAGTGAGGGAAAGCTGGGGGGGTTGGGAACTCCACTGACTCCAGTCACCCCGCATCCTGTCATTCCGTCAAGATTTAGTAAGCACCAAGGATGAAAGCTTTTTTATTTTTTATTTTATTTTGAATTGGAGTCTCACTCTTGTCGCCCAGGCTGGAGTGCCGTGACACGCTCAAGGCCACCGCAGCCTCGACCTGCTGGGCTCAGGTGATCCTTCCACCTCAGCCTTCCAAGTAGATGGAACTACAGACGCACACCACCATGCCTGACTAGTTTTTGTGATTTATTGTAGAGATGAGGTCTCACCAAGTTGCCCCGGCTGGCCTCGAACCCCCAGGCTCAGGCAATCCTCTCGCCTCGGCCTCCCAAAGTGCTGAGATTACAGGCTAAGAATCATGCCTGGCCATACAATCTTTTTTTTTTTAGTTGGAATCTCACTCCGTCGCCCAGGCTAGAGTGCAGTGGCACACTCACAGCCACCCCAGCGTCGACCTGCTAGGCTCCGGCGATCCGTTCGCTTCAGCCTTCCTAGTAGCGGGAACTACAGGCGCGCATTTCCATGCCCAGCTAATTTTTTAAAACTTTTGTTTATTATAGAGACGAGGTCTCGCCAAATTGCCCAGGCTGGTCTCGAACCCGCGGGCTCAGGCAATCCACTCGCCTCGGCCTCCCAAAGTGCTGGGATTACAGGCTGAGCCACCGAACCCGGCAAAATCTTTTCTTAAAAGATGCCAATCTCTGCCCCGTGGAAGTCAGCATACCTGTGGAGCAAACAAAACAAATGCAAAATAAGTAAGCGAGCGAGAGACGGGCGGGGAGTGGGGCGGGGTGAGGGAAAGGAACCTGGAGGGCGGCTGCGGGCAACCGGCAGGGGCGGGCAGGAGCCTGCAGCCCTGAAGCCCCACTATCCCAGCCGGGTCGGTAGGTGGGGTGGGGGTATTTTAAGACGCGCTTCCCCTCCTGTCGGGAAGAACAGGGGCTGGAGGACTGGCCGACGCTCGGGGTCGGAGGCACAAACGTTCGCACTTCGGAGGGAAGGCAGCGAAAGGGGCGGGAGGCGGAACCTGGAGGAAAGTTGCGATTCCCCCGGGAGAGCGGGGCGTGGCAGTAATCCTACAGGGCGGGGTCGCCCTTGGGACGCGCCCGTGCCGAGAGACCGAGGACAGCGTCCAGCGCTGGTGTGGACGCGCAGCCCGGGTCGTGTCCAGAGCGCCCGCTCAGACCGGCAGGGCCGGGGGTCGCCATGTTGGTGACCGAGGTTCCTCTCCTCCCAAGTTGACTGCAGCTCGCAGAGAACCGCATCGCCGCTGGTTAGGAGGGCAGCCCCCCCGGGCACCGCCCCCTCGGACCCACGCCTCCTGCCCGAAGCGCTCCCTGATTGACAGGCCCGGCTCAGCCCACCTCTGGGCCTATCACCGAGGTCCAGTAGCTGCGCCACGCTGATTGGCTGAAGTCTGAGTTGTGCTATGCTGATTGACTGACGCCTGGGCGCTCCACGCTGGATTCCACCTGATCCCTCCAGACTGGGGAGAGGAAGTGTGGGGGACTCAGATACAGTGGCGGGAGGATGGGAAAAATGGGAATGAATCCTGGGGGGAAGCAGAGCCTCCCCAAATTAAAGTCTCCCTCAGAGGGCGCTCATGAGCGGTAGAGAAGGGAAGGGGCCCCATCGGGTGGGTCCAGACCCCACAGCCCTCCAGAGCCCGGTCGGGCACTGCGCTGCCTCAGGGCAAGGAGGCGGTGAGGGAAAGGGCTGACGCGGCAGAGCGGGCCATGCTGTGGCTGGCCGGGGCAGGGTCTAGACTTTGCTTCCCAGGCAGCACCCAGAAATCCCCGAAAGCCAAGTGCAGCTGTCAGGCCCACCCGAGAGAGAGAGGACTGGGGGCAGGGACTACTGTTCCATGAGTACAGAAGCGAGGTGGCCAGGAAGGCAGCTGGGCCAGAAAGGGACATTTAGGCAAAACTAGGGGGACCGTGAGGGAGGAGCATGTGTGAGGAGGGGCACCAAGAGTAGTCCAGAAACCTCAGAGCAGTGATAAATGCATGACTGTGTTCAAATCCCCGCTCTGCTCTACAGGAGTTGTGTGACATTAGGCAAGTCACTTAGTCCCTCTGTACCTGATTTTCACCTCTGAAGTGGGGATAGTTGTAACACCTTCCTCATAGAGCAGTAATAAGGTGATACATATAAGTTAATGTGTGATTATTATAAGGGAATATACACCACCCCAGCACATAGGTTACAAACACAGAGAATTTTCAGGTCAATGAAGAAATAGAGGCTGGGTGTAGTGGCTCAAACCTGTAATCCCAGCACTTTGGGAGGCTGAGACAGGAGGGCCACTTGAGTCCAAGAGTTTGAGACCAACCTGGGCAATATAGCAAGACCTTGTCTCTACCAAAAAAAAAGTAGCTGGGCATGGTGGCACATGCCTGTAGTCTCAGATACTCAGAAGACTGAGATAGAAGGATTGTCTCTGAACCCAGGAGGTAGAGGCTTTGGTGAGCCGTGAACATGCCACTGCACTCCAGCCTGGGTGACAGAGTGAGACTCCGATGCAAAAAAAAGAAAAAAAGAAAGAAAAGAAAAGAAGAAAACCCCCTTGGGAGGTTTCTTATAGTCAGGGAAGATTTCATTTTTTTCCCCTCTCTGTGACTGTTTCTCAGGCAGCCAGAACATTCTTTTGCTCTGGGGTTACGGAGAGTGAGGCCCATCCAGAAGAATATCTAGGGCCAACCAGGAACCAGGTAGGAGTTGTATTTGTGCAGACTGGGGGCTCAAAGCTCTGTGCAAGATGTGAAGGTGAGAAACATCTGCTCGGATGTTTGGAGACCCAGGCATCCCTGCTCGGCAGGCTCAAAGACGCCTGGGCCTCCTCATAGGACTTCCTGGTATACCTTGAGGACCTCTGCCTTTGTGAACCTTTGACGCCACAGTCTCCCTGCAGTCCAGCACAGCAACATGCCTTTGACATCACCGTGTAGGTGGATGCCTGGAGTTTGATTCTTCTTAGGGCATGAGAAGAATCATTTTTCTATAGTCATGCGTCGCCCAAGGACAAGAATACATTTGTTCTGAGAAGTGAATCAGCAGGCAATTTTGTCATGGTGGGGGCATCATAGAGTATACTCACACACACCTAAATGGTGTAGCCTAGGCTGTTTGATGTAGCCTATTGCTCCTAGGCTACACACCTGTACAGCATGTGGTTGTACTGAATATTGTGGGTACTTGTAATACAATGCTGAGTATTTGTGTATCTAAACATAGGAAAGCGACAGTAAAGATACAGTATTACAATCTTATGGGACTACTGGGTGTCTGCTTACTGACCAAAACGTCATGTCATGATGTGTGACTGTGTTAGTTTCCTGTGGGTGCTGTAACTAATCACCAGAAACATCTCTCACAATCCTAGAGGCTGGAAAGCTGAAACCTGCATTATGAGGGGTCCTAAAGGAGGACCCTACCTGCTTCTTCCAGCTCCTGGTGGCCCCAGGCATCCCTTGGCTTGAGGCCATATCCCTCTAATCTCAGCCTCCACAATCACATGGCCTTCTCCTATGTTTGTGGCTAAGTCTTGCTCTGCCTTCTTAAGAGAAATTTTGTGATTCCATGTAGGACCCATGTGGATCCTCCAGCTGACCTCTCCATCTGAGTCTCATCACATGAGCTAAGTCCCTTCTTTGCCAAGTAAGGTAATAGTCACAGGCCCCAGGGACTAGGATGTGGGCATCTTTTGGGGGGATATTATTCATCTGACCACAGGGGCTCACGTGGGGGTTCTGTGCATAGAAGTAAAGTACATGGAGAGAGGATCTCAAGGTGGTGTGGACAATTCTGTCTGCATGTTGGAAAGAGAACCAAAGATGGAAGGCACATCTGGGAGACAGAAAGCCCCTCACAGTGTGGATCTGGGTCCTTTCTTGGAAGCAGTGTGATAGGAAGTAGGCGCTAATCACGTTGTGCCCATGGCGTCAGTTCCCTGGGTGGACTCAGCCTGGGTTCAACCCACCCTGTCTGCAACTCTCATCACCCTGTCTGGCTGGTGGTCATGGGCTCAAGTCAATGACTTCAGTTCTTGCCGTGTAGAGTCTGGTCTACCAGGTGTGCCTTGGCCACCCTCACATCTGACTGTCACCTGCTTTCTGTGGCTTCTGTAACCCTGAGTCATTACAGAGCTTGCTAAATTAGCACCGGATATGAGACCTGTGTTGCCAGAGTCAGGACTGTCCTCCAGAGACTGAGGGGGCATCCAATCATGTTAATTCAATTGAAGACTTCTCTTCTACTTAACGACATTTTTAAACAATCTTCAGTAGGTCAAATTTAACCCCGTCTTCCTCAAAGCATTTTCTGTACCATTAATAGTCCCAGCGCAGACCCCAAAGATTCCCTATTGTTGTGCCTAGGACAATTTGCATCTGTTTAATTACCTAAGTCTGGATCACTCTAGGGGTTCTATGACTAGTTGGGAATGATCCCTATAAAGTTTATGATGTGGTTTGAGCCCAGCTGGAATCCTGCATTCTGGTGGGCTTATCCTCACTCAGACTCCACCTGCACTGGGCCAGGGAAATCCCACTCTCTGTAAGCAATGGCGTCTGGGATAGGAGGACCCCAAAGTTATATCCTTTGTGAGTAGATCTGGCCTCAGCTTCACACCACCGTTCGCCAAGCTTAATATATGGTGTATCGTGTAGTTATTGTCAGGGTGAGTGGTGTTAACTACCAAAGCAAATAGCAAGACGGGCACAGTGGCTCATGCCTATAACCCCAGCACTTTGGGAGACTGAGGCAGGAGAACTGCTTGAGCCTAGTATTCCAGATCAGCCTGAGCAACATAGTGACACCTCATCTCCACGAAAAATGCAAAAATTAGCCAGATGTGGTGATGCGTGCCTGTAGTACCAGCTACTTGGGAGGCTGAGGTGGAAGGGATTGCCTGAGCCCAGGAAACCAAGGCTGCAGTGAGCCAGGATTGCACCACTGGATTCCAGCCTGGGCAATAGAATAGTGAGATCCTGTCTCTAAAAAAACAACAATAACAAAAACAAAAATAATAGTCATCTGGTGAAGGCACTGGCCACGTGTGTCATATGGGACATGTCACAAGCGCTTAGGAAATGCCTCGTGTCTTCCCTACGCACCATGTCCTACAGGATGAAAGGAAGACTGTGCCTATGCACAGAAACACCAAACATGACCAATAACGATCTTATAATAAATATATTTCAACCTCTCAACAGGAACACAGAAATGCTCTCGGGAAGTATAACATGCACTGTAACATGGGATCCTGCCTCTAGCAGCACGGTGCCCCAGCCCAGCCTGTGAACTGGCACAATGGGATGGACCCTGTGTCTCCAGAACCAAACAGAAAATGGGTCTTCATGACCATGAGAAACCCAAAATCAAGTAAGCAAATAAAATAATCACCTCAAGAGAAAAAAGGAGACATGCTAAGGAAAGTTGTCTTTGTTCTAGGAAAATATTTCTTTTTTTTTGTGGTTAATGACTCATTTATAAGAAGGAAGTGAGTTCTGTTGAAAAATATTTGAAATATTCTCTTAGGGGGAGAAAGCAGTTCTTCACCAGTTTGGTGGGCCCCTGGGTGGGAAGCTTTGCTCTCTGTCTGTCCTGAGCCAGCAGGGACAACTCCTCTTCTGAAACCAGGGCTGAGTGCTTGCTGTGGGGGAGAAGGAGACTCGTGACTAAGTCTAGTGGTCTGGGACTGTACGGCCTGGAGGGGCAGCAAGGAGCTTGCACAGCAAGGTCAGGGGAGCTGCCTGGCTGCTCACTCATTCCAAGGTGTCCAAGACAACTCCCAGGTTCCCCCCCAGCTTCTGCGAATTTTTCTCACAGGTAAAATGATAAGTCCAGGGAAGAAAGGGATGAGACCACCCCATGCTTCCTGCCTTCCCTGGAGGGGCGGGTCCTGTGGGAAGTGGGCTGCGGGTGACATGCAGGGTCTCCAGGATCGGACCCTTGGCCCAGTCCGGTAGGTCTCATCTCCATATGAAGAGCAGATCTGCAGGCCATCTAGAGGGGCCATGAGCTGTCCCTGGGCCACCCCCTCAGAGGAGACCCAGGGGCCAAGGTTGGTCAAACCTCACAGAAAGGCATGGAGCATTCCCAGAGGATTCAGACGTAACAAAGACCCAGATAAATGGTACTTAGGTCACTCCTGGGGCTCCAGGGGCTGCCTGTGCTGGAAGCCCAGCCCTGGGCAGGGGAGAGACAGGACCTTCTGCCTGGGCTTGGGTGAGCCCATGGGGAAGGGGGACTTGGCAGACATGGTACCCGACTCCCCCTCAGGCACCCCACTGGAGTCTGGGAATATTTCTGTTTACTTTGGCATGAAGGCCACGACTGAGGTGCCAGACAAGAGATACTCCCTCCCCCAGGGCACGTTCCCCATACCCCTCCCTAGAGCAGCCTGAAGACTGTCCTCGACTGTCCCAGGGAAGATGGCGACCATCTAAGCAGAATGACTTCTACTTTCAGGGTGTGTGTGTTTTGTTTCACTGTTAAGACACACATGAGCCTGGATGGAAACCGAGGATGAAGGAGCAGCTAACTTCCTTCTGGGAGCCTGGAGCCCTGGAGGACAGCTCAGACCATCTGGCCCTCAAAGCCTGACCCTGCTAGACAAACTCCATTTTATCTGACGTATTTCCCTGGTGAGGCCACTTCTAGGTCGTGTCCCTCCTTGCCCCGAAAGGTCCTGCCCTGTCCAGTACATACCTCCTTACCGCAGGGATATTACTCCATACACACACAGCATTCTGGAGGGCTCTGCCATGGATGTCCGGGATGGTCACAGGCTCTGTCTGGAGAGTGGAAGGGTTGGCTATTGTCAGAGAGACCTGGATGGTGGTCTCCACCCACCAGCCCACAGTCCTCAACCTCCATCTGGCCCTGAGCGGTTAACAGACATTCTAGGCTGACTGCATCTAAGTGGCGGGTATTACACATCACACCTCGTTTCTTATAATTCACCTTAGGATAAAAACAGCTGAGTCATTATTTTAAATCTTTTAACTGGCAGGTCATACAACCCAGAGATTCCCCACCCACAACATTGTGGGTGTTTGCTAAGGGTAAGGGAAGCCTTGGTCTCTGGGAGTTGAGACGTTTTGCTCAGGGAAAGACAAGGCTCTACTGGCAGAGACAAGGGCTCTCCAAAGGAAAGACGTGATTGTGCTTGTCAGAAGTCTAACGGGTTGCTGCAGTCCTGGGGTTGCAATCTCTCTGGAAGCCCCAGAAGGAAGGCAGGAAAGAGTGAGAGGCAGGAGGCAGGAGAGGGACCTCCCCTGCTGGGCAGGGAGAGACGGATAGGAGAAACCGAAGAAGAGGCTACCAGTCTCCAACACCTACTGTCTCTGGAGTGGGAAGGAGAGGGAAGGGGAGGGGGAAAGGGAGGAGGAGAGAGAGAGGCAGGTCAGAGAGACTCACCCAGGATGTATCATCTAGCTCAGAACTAGAAGGGACCAAACAGCATTTGTCATGTTTAGGTTTCTTCCTACCATCATCGGATATGAGATTCCACAATAAAATGAGGTTTTAGAAAATACGAGATGTTTCTTTTTTTGCTGACTTCTTATTTGGGACCAGTTAATTGTGAGCTACCAAACTTGTGTGCAATACAATCAAAAGTTACTATTTTTGCTGTTCTTTAAGTTTGTTGATAACTGGCACCAGGTTTAGAAGCTTTGCTTTTTGATTGGACACACGATTACTTATTAATGGTTTTTTCTGAGAAATGTTGCCACTTACAAACCTGATCCCAGCTGCTGACATGTGGTATTATGTCAGTATTCTTTTAAATTTCCAGATTTTCTAATAAGGAGAAATAACCACAGAAACAGAAGAAAATAAAAGAAGCATGAGATCACCTTGCTCAATTCTATGAAAATAATTTCTAAAACTTTAATTAAACGTATTGTGTTCTAGGAAAACATAACTTACCAAAACAGATCCCAGAAAAGACAGAAAACCTTAGTAGCTCAATTTTCATAGAAGAGTTACTTCCATTTTAAAACAACAGCAAGAACAATCTACCCAGACAATTTCACAGGAGAATTCTGTCACTGTTTCAAATATTTTTAGGAAGCAAATTTAACATTGACCCCAGAACATAACAAAGTTCACACAAAGCAAGAAAACTCCATACTAACCCCTTTCATGCTTGTCAATACAAAAAACCTAAATGAAATGCTGTTCAACAGAGTTTAGCAATATATTAAAATAACAATACATTATAACTAGGTGGATTTTTTCCCCAGGAATGCAAGGATAGCTTATTATTAGGAAATCCATTCATATATTACATCCTACTCTTAGATCTAAAGAGGAAAGTTATCTGTCATCTACACAGACATTAAAAAGAATATTTGATGAAACCCAGCAACATTTCTTGATAAAAATTTTCTAAAATATAGGGATCCATGGAAACTTCCTAACATAGTGAAATCATATTTCAAAGTCAGCATCAGCTCAATAGGGAAACATTGGACATCTGAAAGTCAGGAACAGACTGGATGTCCCCAGTCACTAATGGTATTCAACACTGTCCCAAAGATACCAACAATACAATGAGACCAAAAAAAAAATATTCAAGGTATGAAATCAGAATGAGAAAAATGACTATTTGCCAATGATCAAATACATAGTAAGTCTAATTGAATCAGCTGAAAACTACTCCAACACATAAGGTAACCAATAAGGTAGCAGAGTAAAACTAATGTATAGAAGTCCGTACCTTCATGTACACAAATCAAAAACAGACAGTAAAATGGAAGAGCCCATTCACCAGAAGGAAAAGTAGACATTCGAGAATGAATGTAGCAAGGCTGTAGAGAGTGCTCAGAGCACATTCCATGAGTGAGGGAAGGGACGTGCCCCACCTTGTCCTCTGCTGGCAGGAATGTGGACTGGGACAACACCCCTACCAAGGGCCACTGGGCACTATCTGTGAAAATTCCAAATGCATTTACCCTTTAGCCCAGAAATCTTGCTTCTGGAATTTATATCACAAATATCCCCTTAGTCGTATTGCTTAAAAGAACAAAAGATTAGAAGCAACCCCGTTATCCATCCATAGGGAAGAGGCTAAATGCATTTTTATGTCTATAGAAAGGAAAATTTCACAAAATGAAACAAATTGAAACAAAAACTGAGAAAAGTACTTTTGTACCAGAAGTATTTCCAAGGCAATTTTTCTTTTTTTTTGAGATGGAGTCTCATTCCGTCGCCCAGGCTGGAGTGAAGTGACACACTCATGGCCACCTCAGCATCAACTTGATGGGCTCCTGCGATCTTTCTGCCTCAGCCTTCCAAGTAGCCAGAACTACAGGCGTGTACTACCATGCCTGGCTAATTTTCATTTATTGTAGAGACAAGATCTCGCCAAGTTGTCTGGGATGGTCTCAAACCCACAGGCTCAGATAATCCACTCCCCTTGGCCTCCCAAAGTGCTGGGATTACAGGTTGAGCCACCAAGCTTGGTCGTTCCAAGGTAATTTAAGTGAAGAAAGCCAGGTGTCAAAGAGCAGAGTGCTCAGGAGTGCCATTTCTGGAGACCTCTGGAAGACCAGCCAAGACGCCAAAGAGGAGGGCCCATGGGGGGAGAGGCACTAGGGGAGGCCAGGAGGTTTGTCTTGTATGTTTTCATAACATTTGTTAAAAGTCTGAGCCACATGAGTGTGAAGAGACATCCTTCGGAAGGGTTCACCAAGCCTGGCCAGCGGCTGTCCCATGGAAAGTTCTGGGAAGGGTCCTAGGGGTCAGTTAATGCTTTAGTGCTTCAACCTCTCCCCACTGCACTAGTCATGAACCCACACCTAAGACCAGCTGAAACTCCTTTATAGCAAACCCAACTGCTGCACACTGCAAACCAAAAATAAAATCCAAAGCCCCCCAACTGATCGAATGACCAAGAGGATCCCAGAGACACCTGAAAAATGGAACTCCCAGCCATGATGGGAGGGAGGGTCATCATGCTTCAACATGCTCCCTCCCTATTGCAGTTTAGACACAACAGACCAGCATCAATGTTAACATAGAGCCCATAACACTGACAGAATGAACTCAGTGGCAACAGCATACCAAATTATAAACAGGACCCAAGACCATGCCAGGCAAGGGTTAAGTCACACATTCGAATATGTATGTCCCAGACACTGATTAACAGACCCCTACCCTGTCCCACCAGCAGCTTTAACTGGACAAGAGACTGACTTCAGTGTCTTTCTCCTGGCGAGAGACCACCAACATTGGACTGGTTCTGGTCAGTTTACAGAGGCTGCAGACTGAGTGCCTTCATGTCCTGAAAAGACATTTTGACGTACAGGGCTGGACTGTGATACACCGACATGTAAAGTCTCCACCACAAGGTGAACATGGGTCATATGTACATGCATACTTGTTTAATAAACATATGTTAGCACCCCCTTCATGAATATTCATGGTTCATCCTTTAGCCTGCTGAATATGTATGGTTTAGTCAACCTGTTCAGCTCAAAGCTCCTGCTCCAACCTCACCTCCTTCCAAGTGCCTGTCTCTGGGCTTTGCTGGAGACTTAATTCTCAGCCTGCAGAGTGGCCACCTTGCGGGCTGTAACCCTTACTAGAAGTGAAGATAGCTGGGCATGGTAGCACGCGCCTGTAGTTCCAGCTACTTGGAAGGCTAGGTGGAAGGATTGCCGAACCCCAACAGGTCGAGGCTGTGGTGGCCAGGAGCATGCCACTGCACTCCAGTCTGGGTGATGGAGTGAGACTCTAACTCAAAAAAAAAAAAAAAAAAAGAAGTGAAGAGTCTCCTTCTACATAATAGACCTTGAGACTTTTCAGTTGACAACCCTAGCTCCCTCTTCCACTCACTTGATTGCTTTCCTGTCATGCCATGAAATGCCCTGGCACCAGATGAACTTGACCCTGCCTGGACCTCAGTGAAGGCTCTGGCCCACAGGTCCTTGCCCCCTCTGCTCCCCACTTGGCGGGTGGAGCCCCCGCTTGCAATGGCCCCTCTCTGGGACCTGAGAGTATGATGAACTTCCTCCACCTGAACTTGGCTCTCCTCTCCTATGGCTGCGACTTGACCATCCCTTACCCATCATAGACATGCCTGGAACACCCGCCTGTTAGCCCCACACGGGATGCATCATGGAAGTCAGAAGTGGCAGCTCTGACGACCAGGGGTCAGACACATGAAAGAAAAACAAGTCTGTCAATGACCCAAAGGGTGAGTGTGTGAGTGAGAGTGTGCACATGCATGAGAGTGTGTGTGGCGTGAGCGTGTGTGATGTATAGTGTGAGTACGCATGTAGTGTGTGTGTGATGTGTACATGTGTGGTGTGTGTGTATAAGTGACTGCGCATGTGTGTACTGTGGTGTGTGTGTGCACATGTGACTATATGTAACATGTGAGTGATTGTGTGTGGTATGTACCTGTGTGGTGTGTATGTATAAGTGACTGTGCACTGTGGTGTGTGTATTCACACATGAGTGTGTGTGCATGTGAGCAGACTGAGAGGGCAGGGGAAACAAGAGGAGGTGACCCCTGTTAGTCATGTTCTGAGAGTACCCGTGTGGTGTAAAGTGGGACTGCCCTCAGAGGCAGTCCTTGAAGGGCCCCCCCTTGTGTCCCCAGGGACTGTAGCCTCAGTTGCGCAGTGTTCCTCATGGGCTGTGAGCAAAATGGAAGCAGGGGGCTGCAGGCAGCCAGGAGCCTGAAGAGCGGGATGTGAGCTGAGCCTGGGAGTGGGTGTGGGTTGGGGAGGCCTGCATGCCCTCCCGCACGCACCTCCAGGAAACGACTTGCAATGGCCCGGTCTTCTCTGGTCAGCATGACGTTGTCCACAAACATCCAGAAGAAGGGCTGCGGGCTGCCAGGCTGGGGCCGTGCGTACTGCAGGAGCCGGTGGAACTGGAACAGGTACCAGCCTGGGCAGGAGGACAGCACTGAGGGGGCTGGGGGTGGCAATCAGGTGACTTGGGGCTGGTGCATAAGGAGCCCAGGACACCAGGGCAGGGTTAAGGGGCACTTAGCCGAGGACCAGCCCTGGTCTGGGTGTCCACCTGCCCACCTCCCAGCAGCAATGGAGCCCTCGAGGACACAGGACCACAGGAGTGTGCAGACCCCAGCCTCCCTCAGGGAGGCCCAGCGTTGAGAAGGGGCAGAGGCAACTGTGAGGGAAGGCAGAGATGGCTGGGGTGCAGACTCAGCACAATTAACACCTTTTAAATAAAACTCCAGAGGAGTGCTCTCTAGTGACACAGGCATGTGGGGGCTGCCTGGTGGGGGTCAGAGAAAGGGCACGAGGAAGCCTTTGGGGTGATGGGGACATTTGCTCTCTTGATCATGGCGAGAGGTTCACAGGCATATATTTACATCAAAACCTACCAAATTGTACACATTGAATGTGTGCAATTTATTGTACGCCAGGGGTATCTCAATGAAGATGTTTTTTTAAAATGCAGATGAACTTTGGGAGGCCAAGGTGAGAGGACTGCCTGAGACCGTGGGTTCGAGACCAGCCCGGGCAACTTGGTGAGACCTCATCTCTATAATAAATAAAAAATTAGCCAGGCATGGTGATGCATGCCTGTAGTTCCAGTTGCTTGGAAGGCTGAGGCAGAAGGATCACATGAGCCCAGCAGGTCCAGGCTTCAGTGACCAAGAGCATATCACTGCATTCCAGCCTGGGTAACAGAGTGTGAGATTCCAACTCAAAAAAATGCAGACGATTTGCAGCTTCTGTCCTGCAGTGGGTAGGAGCGGGGGTGTGTGGATTTGACATGCTGCCTGTATAACTGGAGTCGACCACAGGCTGTTTCTGGAAACATCTCTCACCGGGAGGACGGTCGCAGGTGTGGCCCAAGGGAGGTGTTGCACCATACAGGAGATGGAATGGACCCCACTCTTCCACCTGTGGGACACGGGCAACTGGAGGACATGCTTATCTCAGCAGGAGAGTCTGGGCACTGAGACGCAAATGTTCCCAGCAATCAGGCAGCAGCAGTCAACATGGCATGGTGCCCGCCTCACCATGTGACATTGACAGGGCTCAACTTGCTCAGCACAGGGCCCTGTGCAGGCCCAGAAAACCCAGCAGTAGAGCCTACCAGGATAGGGCCACCCTCAGTCACCACCCATGCTCAGGGACACATTCGGGTCAGGAGGTGGTCATTGTCCTTAGAGAACCAGTCCCAGGAGGGTCCACACACAGACTCCCCACGGATATAAGGGATTCTGTGTATCATCTGGGAGCACGAGGCATGCCAACCACAGCTGGCAGTAGGGAGCAAACAGCAAGGGTGGAACATCCCTTGCTGAACAGAAGCGCTCCTCATGTGACATCAATAACCAGCCAGGGTCACCGCGTGGCTGAGCTGGAATAAACAAGACAACCACCTAATGCTCCTGCCTGAACACAGAAAAGACAAGGATGCTCTTCAACCACAACAGTGACAAATGATCCCCTCGTCAGGGTGACACGAGGGACATTGGCTTCATGAATGGTCACAACTCGAGCCTTGTGAAATCCTTCTTAAATAAAAAGTAACAAGATACTCAAGCCTCAGATTCTCCCCTCCTCTGACAGCACTCAGTCCAGGTAGGCCCTGCTCCCCTACCCTCCTCAAACCCTACAACAGCCCGAATCCTGTATTAAGCCCCCAAACTCCTCATGCTGCCTCTGGGAAGTTCTTTCATGATGTAGCAAGAGAATAAACCTGACTCTAGCTGACTACAATTGTGTCCTGGGGCACTGGGCTTTATCACAGAGAAAAGGCATGGTTGGAGGTCTGGTCAGAGGAGGTGGGCAAGGGCTAGTGGTCTAAGGCCAGCACCCCCCAAGATTTGCATGTAGGAGGTTGTGTGTGCTTATCTAACAACCGCCAGTGAACTCAGTGGACAGAGTGGCCAGATGGAGGCATCTTTAAAGAGGAGGAGGGCCAAGCATGGTGGCTCATGGCCTGTAATCTCAGCACTTTGGGAAGCTGAAGCGAGAGGACAATTTGAGGCCTGGAGTTTGAGATTAACCTGAGAAACATAGCAAGATCCTGTCTCTACAAAAAATAGAAAAATTAGCCAGGAGTGGTGGTAGGAGCCTGTAGTCTCAGCTACTTGGGAGGATATGGCAGGAGAATTGCTTGAGACCAGGAGTTCAAGGCTGCAGTAAGCTGAGGTCGTGCCATTGTACTCCAGCCTGGGTGACAGAGTGAGATCCTGTCTCAAAAATAAACAAATAAGTAACATAAAGAGGAGGAGGCAGGGCAGGAACAGAGTGGGCATCCTGCCTGCAGGAGGGGATGCGTCACTAGCGCTGGCTCATAGCGGTGTCTGGAGGATGCCTTCAAACGTGTGCACGTGTGTACTGGGGTGTGTGTGTGCACATGTGAGTATCGGGAGCCGCCAGTGGCTCAGGCCCAGACTCACATCTTTATTTTAGAGGGCAGAATGAGGCTCATCCCCCTTGCTGGGCAGTGCCCTGTCACAGGCAGTGGAAGAAACTGACCACTTGGATTTCAAGGTGTTGGGCAAGATGTTTGAGCACACTGATCTGGGCTCTGGGCATTGCAGGGGTCATGAAAGTGTGCTGCGCAGACCTCCCACTGTGGGAGCATCACAATCATGGATGTGCTGGTAGGGACTGACTCCTGCCAAGGCTAGGACTCCCCACTGGGCCAGCTGAGAGGCCACTGCTCCTCCAAGCCTCTGCTGCCTCTCCCTGCCCATCTGAGACCCTCCCTCTTCCTGGCCCTGTCCTGCACTGTCCCCAAGGACTCTCGCCCTGCTCCCATCTTGGCAGCTGAAGCGCACAGCAGTACTCACGTTCCTCCTCACTATGTTGGTGGTATCATCCAAATGCCTCAGTCTTCCTGGGTCAGAACCGGTTTCCACAAAGCCCAAACTCATCAGCTCTGGGTGGGGAGAAACAAGAAGGGCCCAGGGGCTTATGTGGCTTTTTGCCCCCTCAGAGAACCAAAAAGGCCAGTGGCTGGTCTCAAGGCTTTCCTGCCAAGAATAAGCAAACTAAACTGTTTTTTCTTTCTTTTCTTTCCTTCCCCTCCCCCTCCCCCCATCCTCCCTCTCCCTCTCCCTCTCTCTCCCTCTCTGTCTCTGTCTCTGTCTCTGTCTCTCTCTCTCTCTCTCTCTCTCTCTCTCTCTCTCTCTCTCTCTCTCTCTCTCTCGTTAGGGTCCCCTAACCCAGGCTAGAGTACAGTGGCATGATTAAGGCTCACTGCAGCCTTGACCTCCTGGGCTCAGGTGATCCTTCCAAGTTAGCCTTCCGAGTAGCTGGGACTATAAGTGTGCACCACCACGCCCAGCTAATATTTTTACTTTTTGTAGAGATGAGGTCTTGCTATGTTACTCAGGCTGGTCTTGAACTCCTGGGCTCAAGTGATTCTCCTGCCTCGGCCTCCCAAAGTGCTGTGATTACAGGCATGAGCCATTGTATCCCAAACTGTCTTTTTAATGACACGTCAGGCAGTTGAAGGATAGCTTTTGTCTCATCCTAAGCTAGACAAGCAAACTTCACCAAGTTTGATTTAAGGACGTCAAGCAGTTTGTTGCAAAACCAAGCACTTTTGGTTTGTGCTGTCACCCACTAGGTTAGGAAATCTGCTGGGCAGTGGAGTCATCACTGATGTCACCTGGCAAGTGTGGGTAGCAAAGCCAGGGAATGGCCTTAGAGGTGGCCAGGGCTCTTCAGCCCCACCCAGCAGTGGGACTGTGGGCAGGCTGTGTGCTGTGTGTGACTCAGGCTCCTGGTAGGCCACGCAGTGGGGGATGGGACACAAGCTCCATGTGGGGCCATTCCAACAACACTATGGTGCACTTAGCATGGAGCTCCAAGTGGGACTGATGCCTGATTGATTAGGTCAGAGATTAGAGACTGTCTTCATGGATTCTAATATGTCTGCTGGGCCCAGAAGACTGGGTGGGGTTTCCAAAGGCACCAGCAGCAAGGGGTGGCAGTTAGTGTGGGCCCTGGTGGAGCAGGACACCAGCACATGGCCAGTCTGACCAGCTGGAGATTTAGGGAAAGGAGGGTGCAGGGAGCCCTGGAGGGGTGGGAGGGGGGGACTTGTGAGGTGGTCAGGTATGTAAAGTCATCTTCCTGTGAGACTTTAGGATGTCACTGCACTCACCTTTCTTGATGTCCCCAAAAAGGGACAGCACCCGCACTGGTTCTCTCTTCCACACAGGCACGGTTTTGTACATTTCAAGAGAACTCTCCTATTTATTAAATTAAAACATTTCTGTTACTCTTGGGTTCCAGGTCCTCCATCTGGGAGATCCTGACCTTGCAGCAGGGCCCCTTGTGCCCCATGTTCGCTTCCCACTGGCTGCCCTGTCTGCCCTGCAGGTGTTGGGAATGTCTGAAAGCTGTCTGACATTCCTGGAGGGACCCTGCTGTCTGCTCTCTACTGCTGGTGACCTGTCAGCACCCTGAGTCCAGCCATGAGGAGCCATGCTGAGAACAAAGGACATCAGAGTAACTAAGAATGGCGGGTCGTGTTGACCCAGCGGTAAAACCTGATCCTCCCAGCTTTCCCCTGCAAGGACTTTGGGCCAGACAGAGACTGGGTTAGTTCACTTGTAAGACAAGCATCTCCAGTCTCCCTGCCCCCACGGAGGTCGTAGTTAGGGATGCCTGACCAGGGGCGAGCAGAAAACTATCAGGAACCAACCTGAGCATGGGGCAGCTGCCCGTGTGGGGGCTCGAGGGAGACTCAAGGCCATGTGGATGCCCAGCACAGGCAACTCCTGCAGCTGTGGGGAAGGTGGGGTCCCAGCTGCCCTTGGAGGAGGCAGGGGAGGGGAAGGGAGAGGCTCAGCCCACAGGTCTGTGCAGGGGAAGACCTGGGGTCTCAGGACAAAGCTAAACTGAAAGCCAGCAGTCCCTTGCTGCTCAGTGCCAGTGTATGGGAGGGCTTTAACAACATGTGTGAATACCACTTCACTTTCTTTGGAGGTGAAACCCCTACAGCAACCTTCGATCCTGGGCTCTGCATGACGCCGAGCATGAAGGTTCTTGCCCTTAAATGACTCCAAGAGGACTCTATTAAGGCATGAGCACACCTTGTTTTCTGGAGAGCACCAAGAGGCCACCTACAAATAACTGTCAGGTGAAAACACATCTGCCCTAGACTGACATCAAGGAGCCTTTGCAGGACATCCCTCAGCCACCGATATGAATATGCACAGGGACACAGCAGCCTGGAGCCATGGGAGCCTTGGATGTAGGGAGCGTTAGAAACCCCATGCCCCATGCCTGGCGGCATGGAGAGCCTCAGAAGTGAGCAGGAGCCAGACGCTGGCCTGGGGAGGTGACACTCCTGGGGCAGAGATGCCATCCGGGGTCACATGCCCCCAATGGCGAGATGGACCAGGTGGGCACATATCTGCAGCTTCACATGCTCCCTCCAAGAGTACCCGCCTCCCTCTAGCCGCAAACTTGGGGAGACCACAGCTTCCAAAACACTGAACTTTTGTCCAAAAATATCACCTTCCCAAGCCAGATTCAGTGGCTCACGCTTGTAATCCCAGCATTCTGGGAGGCAGAAGCAAGAGGGCTGCCTGAGCCCAGGGGTTCAAGACCAGCCTGAGCAAATTGGTGAGACCTCGTCTCTACAATAAATCAAAAAAGTATCCAGGCATGGTGGCACGTGCCTGTAGTCCTAACTACTCAGGTGGCTGAGGAGGAAGGATTGCCTAAGCCCAGCAGATCGAGGATGTGGTAGCCATGATCGTGCCACTGCACTCCAGCCTGGGCAGCAGAGTGAGACTCCAACTGAGAAAACAAAAAAACACCTCCCTCTGCCCTTTTCCTGCTTATGTCAGGTCAAATATTACTGGGCAAGAAGAGATGACTTTACTTAACCTTAAGGAATGCTAGCTGGCTGGCGAGGTGCAGTGGCTCACGCCTATAATCCCAGTACTTTGGGAGGCTGATGTGAGAGGACTGCTTGAGCCCTGGAGTCTGAGGCCAGCCTGGGCAACATAGCAAGACCTCATCTCTATATTAAAAAATTTAATTTAATTATTTTTTTAAAATAATGCAATCTGGAGGGCAGAGGACAGTTGAACAACCCTGGTCTGTGCCCTATGCTGAACACTTTCCTGAGGACTCTTACCCCTCTGCAGGGGCTTCCGGGGACTACCATAACAAATTGGAACAGACTGCAGGCTTAACACAGCAAAAATGTATTATCTCACAGCTCAGGAGACCAGAAACCTGGAATCAAGGTGCCAGCAGGGCTGGCTCCCTCTGAATGGTCTAGGGGAGGACGTCCCTGGCCCCTTTCCCAGCTTCTAGTGCTGCCAGCACCCACTGGTTTGTAGATGCTTCCTTCCCATCTCTGCCACCCTCACCACATGGTCATCTTCTCTGTGTGTCTCTATCCCTCAAAGCTCTTATCGGGACACCAGTCATTGCATTTAGGGCCCACCCTAAATCCAGGATGAGCTCAAGAGCCTTAACTAAATCACATCTGCAGAGACCCTATTTCCAAACAAAGTCACATCCACAGGCACTGGGCTCAGGACCTGGGCATATCTCCTGTGGGAGACACAGTGCAGCCTACTATACCTCTGACAAGCTCACAGCTCCTGCCTGACTCCCTGGCTCCTAGGCTTGACCCGCAAGAGGTCCCATGCCTAGCCAGCATCTGCCTGAGCACTGACCCCTGCATGCTGGACCCACAGACATGCTGAGAACTTGCCAGTCATTCTCTCCCAGATTCCTCTCCTACTTATTGCAAGAGCCTCATTCCCAGGCTTGTAAGAAACAAAATGGGGCTGGACATGGTGGCTTGTGCCTGTAATCCCAGCATTTTGGGAGACAGAGGCTGGAGGATTGCTTGAGCCCAGTTTGAGACTAGCCTGGGCAACATGGCGAGACCTCGTCTCTACAAAAAATAAAAAATTAGCCGGGTGTGGTGGCACACACCTGTAGTCCCAGCTACTTGGAAGGCTGAGGGAAGAATTTCCTAAGCTCAGCAGGTCGAGGCTATGGTAGCTGTGATTGTGCCATTGCACTCCAGCCTGGGCAACAGAGTGAGACTGACTCAAAAAAAAAAAAAAAAGAAGAAGAAAGAAAAAAAGAAACAAAAGAGCCATGCCAAGGTTGTTTTACAAGAATTGATTATCTAGTGGAATTTGCTACCAACGAGGAGGACAACAAAGAGTGTTTGCTCGAAAGCCTGCAACTTCATTATTGTCAGAGCGAACAGGCAGTAACCAGAAGGAAAAGCCACAAAGCCCAGAGCCGGCTGCCACAGGGTCCTGTGCCCTAGCGGGCTCCTTACCGACTCACGGTCATAGAAGGCCTTCAGTTGGCCTCGCCACTTCCTCCTCCTCTGCAGGAGGCCACTGCGGGTGAAAGGCAGGCACAGGAAGCACACCCAGTTACTCATGGCATGGACTTTCTCCGAGGTCCCTGGGCTGACCAGGGTGTCCAAACACTCAAAACAGTAGCATCTAGAGTCAAACAGAAAACCGCAGAGGCTGAAATGACAAGTCCCTCAGCACCAGGGCAAGGCAGAAGCAGGCCTAAGACGTGCTTTGGTGTGAACAATAAAAGTCACAGTTGGAGGCCAGGCACAATGGCTCATGCCTATAATCCTAGCACTTTGGGAGCCCGAGGCAGGAGGATTGCTTAAGCCCAGCAGTTCGAGACCAGCATGAACAACATAGTGAGACCGTGTCTCTACAAAAATAAAAATAAAAAATATTATCCAGGTGTGGTGGCACAAGCCTGTAGCCCCTGCTACTCAGGAGGCTGAGGTGAAAGGACCGCCTGAGCCCAAGAGGTTGAGGCTGCTGTGAGCCCTGATCATGCCACTGGACTTCAGCCCGGACGATAGTGAGACCCCAAATAAAAAAAAAAAAAAGTCACAATCAAAGAAGCCCTGCCTGTCCCTGCACTGTGTGGTGGGAAGGGAGGCTGTGACTTTGGGCAATAGGGACACAGTTCCTCCTAGGGACTTGGAGTGACAGGAGCCCACCGGTGCAGAAGACAGCAAAGAAGGCTTAAGGGCAATGACAGACCTCAAAGAACCCCTTAAGCCACCTATCTGCCTCTGAACTCCAGAGCCCGCAGAAACAGTTTAAGGGCTCCCAGCATAACCAAATGCAGAAGCACCAGCTGAGGGAGGCAATTTGAGGCAGGGCAGATGGCCGAGGAGGACCAAAGGGGGACCCCTAAGGTCAGAGCTCAGGTGGGTGAGTAGTGACCAAGGGGTGCACATGCCCTTTGTGGTCCCCTGGTCATGACTGGCAGCCATGGGGTGTGGGGTTTCTAACGCTCCCTACATATGGTGGAAGGAACAGCCATGTTGTGGCAATAATACTGAAAAGAAAAGTCACAAACACAGACTTCTGACACCCTGTCTCCCATCTGCCAAGGCTCTATGCCAAATGTGTTTGAGACGGAAATTGAAAACTCTGGAGAAAATGGTTCTTCTCAGAGGAGTGGCTAGGAAGGCTGGGTGTTTCCTCCTTACCAGCAGGGCCCTCAACTCACCGGGTGCAATCGGGGTTTTCACAGATGAGCAGTGTCTCTCCCGAGCAGCAGATGGAACAGTAGGATTGGTACCCGTCCTCGTCATACAGGAAAAGTGTGTCCAGGAACTTGTCCTTAGCAGGGAGCAGAGCCAGACTGGCTATGTCCCCCCATTCCGAGACTGCGAGGGGAGTCACACCCAGCTTCCCTGCTTACCTTACATGGGGCACACATCCCTCCCTCAAACAGAGGGTGCTGTGTGTGAACGAGGAAACTTCCACAGCAGAGGCAGATGTCTAAAGGAAACACCCAAAATGCCATGTATTTTATGGAGCCAGCAAATGGAGCAAAAGACTTGAGAACAGATTTAACCAAAGAAGTGCAAGACCTGCCCACTGAAAATCACAAAGCATTGCAGAGAGAAACAAAGAAAATCTAATTAAATGGCAAGATATCCCATGTTTATGGATTAGAAGACTATATAATATTGTTAAAATACCAAAACTCCCCAGATGGATACAGACCCTTTCCAAAATCCCAACTGGCCTTTCTGTGGGAAGTGACAAGCTGATTCTAACATTTATGTGGAAATACAAGGGATCCAGAACAGGCAATTCCATAGAGAGAGAGATTCATGTCTGTCTAGGGTTGAAAGAAGGGAGGCGAGAAGGGGAATTTGGAGTAACTGTTATTGGATAAGGGTTTTCTTTTTGAGGTGATGAAATGTTCTAAAATTAGATGGCGATGATAGTCACACAACTTTAAATTTACAAAAGTGGTTGGGTAAGGTAGTTCACGCCTGTCATCCTAGCACTTTGGGAGGCTGAGGCAGAAGGATCACTTGAGCCTAGGAGTTCAAGGTCAACCTGGGCAACAAAGTGAGACCTCGCCTCTACAAAAAAAAAAAAAAAAAATTAGCTGGGCATGGTGGTTCATGCCTATAGCCAGCTACTCAGGAGGCCGAGGCTGAAAGATCACCTAAACCCAAGAGGTGGAGGTTGTGGTGAGCCGGGATCATGCCACTGCACTCCAGCCTGGATAACAGAGTGAGACTCTGACTCAAAAAATAATAACAAAGACAAACTAATAAATAAATAAACTAAAAGATTGAACTATATACTTTAATTGAAGCTGCAAGGGCCTTGGGGAGAGGGTAGGGAATATGAGTGGGCCCAGGGCGTCCATGTCCTTCTAGGGTGACTGTATGCTGAAGCAGCAAACCTTTCCAGAACCGGCAGATATGTTCTTTTGCTGGGTCCTGGGCAAGTGTGCAAATGCTCACCTTCTATGTTTCGCTGGTTAACCTTGACTTCATATGCAATGTGATCTAGAAAAGAGAATAAGAAGTAGCCCCCCCTTCCTAATTTAAATATGGCCAAGAAGCAAGCATCACAACTTGATCTTCTGAAGTCACAGTAAATAGCCTGGGGACTTCCACCATCCCTCTCCCCTCACCCCCCACACTCCTGCCTTGAACCTTATCCTGGTGGGTTAAACATGGAGCCTAGGGCAGGGGGGAAGGCTCCAGGTGGAGACCTTCTGCCTTGTCCAGGTGTCTGAATGATGCATGAATGTTCCAGAAGCCTGGAACTCCAGATACTGTCCAGGCCTGGAATCGGAATTCTAAGTGACTGGTCCAATAAGCAGATGAGCTCTCACCTCTGCCCAGCCTGGGTGAAGAGGAAGTCGACAGCTCGCTGGAGCCTACCAGGATCACGTCCAAGCTACATTCAGCCTCCAGGTCCAGGACTGGGGCTGCTGCCACAGGGATGCCATGCCAGGACACAGGGCACACAACGCAGACATGAGAAAGTCATCAGCCTCTGCTTGGAGCCTCTGCTGGGAGGCCCTGCCCAGCTCATGTCTCACTGGCCCCATGGTGACACCCACTCATCCCGACCCAGGGATGAGGGGCAAGAAAGACAGTGAAGAATGCCAGCCCTGAGAAGGCTTGGTGGGTCCCCTGTGGTGTGCCCCTCGCCTCCCCAGGCCTGTCACCACTCAGGGTCGGTGGGCCACTTCTCCCCACAAAGGGGAGGGCAGGAGGCCTTGTGAGGACCCAGAGACAACATCGGCTCCAGCCCCTGTCTCCCTCTTCATTAACCTTGGGACCCCAAGCCTCCCGCTTCACACAGTGTCCCCAGGTCCCAGGAGGGACCCTGGGGGATGGTCTCTGCCAGGTCGCACCCTCAAAGGCAGGACCGCCAAGGAGAAGAAGAAAGGGCCTCACGGGTTTCACAGGGCGGCCGCCACTGCTCCTTGTCCAACTGGCTGGCGAGGTCAGAGTTTGAGCTGTGCAAGGACTCCAAGGGTAAGGTCCTCCGGCAAGAGAGGGCCATGGAACCAGGAATGCACAGGAAACAGAATCAGCTGGAAGGGTCCAGGTCCACCAGGGCTAGTGGGAGGCTTGAGGGCACTCTGCGCCACACTGCGCCACAATGCGTGATGTGGGCGTGATGCGGGGGCGGAAAAGGGCGGGGGAGGAGGGAATGCGGGGGTGAGAGGCTCCTATGGGGGTACTTAGGGCGGGAGGTTAAGGGGGTGGGGAGGGTGGTGAGGGGAGGTTGGGGGACTTGTAAGGGGAGGTTAGGGGCCTGGAGGAAAGGAGGAAAGGGAGCCTTTAAAGTGGGATGGGGCCGGGCTCGGTGGCTCAGCCTATATCCCGTGCTTTTGGGAGGCTGAGTGAGTGGATTGCCTGAGCCCGCGGGTTCGAGACCCACCTGGGCAGCGAGACCTCATCTCTACAATAAATCAAAAAATCAGCCGGGCGTGGTAGCACGCACCTGTAATTCCGGATACTCGGAAGGCTGAAGCGGAAGGATCGCTGGAGCCCAGCAGGTCGAGGTTGCGGTGGCCAGGAGCGGTCACTGCACTCCAGTTTGGGCGACCGAGTGAGACTCCGACTCAAAAAATAATAATAATAAATAAAAATAAAAAATAAAGTGAGGTGGGGTTAAGAGTTGAGGGGAAGGGGTTTGGGGGTGCAGGGGATAGAGGCCCTCAGGGTAGAGTGAGGGGTGGGGATGCGATGCAGCAATCCAGGGACAGGGTTTAGGGACTCAATGGGGAATGGGGGCTCAGGACAGGGGTGGAGGTGAGAGGGTGGAGGATGGGATGGGTCACTCAGGGACGGGGCTTAAAGGCTCAGTGGGGATGGGGGTTCAGAGCAGGGGTGGAAGTGAGAGGGTGGGGCTGGGGCGGGACACTCAAGAGAGAGGCTTAGATAGGCCAGTTCGGAGGAGGGTTAGGGAAACCTGGGGGGGCAAAACCAGGTGGGGATGAAGAATGGGGTGGAGTGGGGTGCTCTGAGGCGGGGCTTCGGGAGCTCAGCCTGAAGCCTTAGGGCTGGGGTAAAGGTGGTGGTGGTGGAGGACGAGGAGGGAGAAGAGGCACTGGGGAATGGGGTGGGGTGCTGGATGGGGATTAGGAAGCTGGGTGAGGGAGTGGGGGCAGTGGGGAAGGTAGGTTCAAGGTAGAGGTGGAGGGGTGGTGGGGGAAAGGAGCAGTAGCGTGGATTGGGCAGAGGCGCCCATGGGGAGGCAGAGCGACAGGTTGAAGTGAGAGGCAGTTGGAGGGACCCTGGGGGGGCAGAAAATGGGGCAGAGGGTCAGTGGGCAGGGGTTACAGCCACAGAACAAACATGGTGGTGGCCAAAAGTGAGGGAGGTTCCTTGGGGGGCATAACTCTCCCTTCAGTGTGGGTTGGGCCTAGTGACTTCCTTCACAAGGACAGGATGGGGGCTCACTGCACAGACCACCTTGGCTCTGACCAGGTCAGCATCACAAGGAGAGTTCAGTTCACATGTGCTCTGATGCAAGAGGTGCAAAGGCACATTATCCAGAGCTTCCTCCACCAGCCTCACCTGTCTTGCCACGAGAAGAACCCACAGATCTCAGATGAGGGAAGTCCTGCAAACTGCCTGACCAGCCCTTAGAACACTGTCTACAGCCCAGGTGTCTAACTAACCTTTTGGCTTCTCTGGGCCACACTAAGGAAGAATTGTCTTGGGCCACACATAAATTATATCATATAGTTAGTGAATATACATAATGAGACTTCCTTTTATATTCAAAGTTTAGAAAAAATGCGAATATAGCAGTAGTGGGAAATTTGACCTTGTTTTTATAAAACTCATCTATCAGTGTCTGATTCGATGGAGTGGTCACAATTCCTAGTGAGTTCTAAAGGTGCTCATCAGAAATGTTTGTTCGAATTTTGCCCCTCACGTGCTTCATAATTGAAAGCAACTGCTCACAAATGTATGTGCTGCCAAAAAGTGATGTCATGAATAAGGCGTGATGGCGAATTTCAGAAATGGGGCTACCATGGGGTCATGAAGAAAATAAATGCTAGAAAACACATGATGTTAAAAGATTTTGTGGGACTGCTTTACTAACTGTCCTGGGCTGCATGTGGTCTGTGGGCTGCTGACTGGACATGCCTGGTCTACAGGGTCACCAAACACAAGGAAAGTTTGAGAGACTCACAGCCAAGACGAGCCAGAGATGTGACAAGTGCATGTCATTTGGGATCCTGGATGGGGTTCTGGGACAGAAAAGGACTTGAGGGAGAAACTGAGGAGATCTGAATCAAATACAGTTTATCCATCTGGCTAATAAGTATGCATCACTATTGGTTCATTAGCATTAACAAGTGCATCACTAGCACAAGATGTAATAATAGAAGCAGGGGTGGGGTTTGTGGAAATTCCTTTGTGCTTCTTGACCTTTCTGTAACTCTAGAACTCTTCTAAATCATCTATTTATTTGTTTGCTTGTTTGTTGGTTTATATCTAGCTGGGGGTCTTGCTCTGTTTCCCAGGCTGGAGTACAGTGGTGCGATCACAGCTCACTGCAGCCTCCACCTTCTGACCTCAAGAGATCCTCCTGCCTCAACCTTTTGAGTTTATTTTTTTTTAATGAAAACAAGTGAAGGGTGGAGTATATTGATGATGACATGAAATCATCTCCTGTTTGATAAAATTGTCTTGATTGTGTTATCCTTATTTTATTCCCTTTAGCTTTGTTTTTTAGGGAGAAGTGATTATAAGATATTTTAAAGATTAAAATGATTACAAGGAACCAGAAGGGTGCAGGATCATCTGTCACCTGATCCCAGTATTACGCCCCAACTTTCCCTTCCAGTTCATTCATGTTGCTCCCGCCAGCTTAAGTGGAAAGTGGGGAATCCCAGGGACCTGGCTCAGCTCTGAAGGACAGCTTTCTAAAGACTTGACCTTTGCTGGTGGCCAGGGGGACCCTGGCCCAAGCAGAAGTTCCTGGAAGCTTCCGCCCAGGGTGGGTGGACAGGGCTCAGGGCCAGCCACAACACAGGAAACCCAGGCAACTCCCGTCAGAGCCTTGGGGTGCCTGCCTGGCCCACTGCAGCTGGGTAGGGACCAGAGCAGCCTCAGAAGGAGACAGCCCCTAGAAGAACCAGTCCTGTAGTGACCTGCTCGGTCCCTGGGCCACCACCAGCATCAGCCCATGAGATGTGTTGACCAGGACTGCAGTCACAGGTGCTGGGCTCAGGGGGACCTCTGGCCTTACTCATGGATGCCCCAGGAAGCTCCAAGACTACAGGGTGTAGGGGTGGCTCTAAAGTCTCCCATACCAGGCACCCAGGGCTGAGGGAGCACAGACCCTGAAGTGTGGCAGCTCTTTCTAGTGCCCCATGAGCCCATCTGGCTCTTCCCTCTGCATGGGCCCCCATCCATTTAGGACTGAGATTGGTATGTGGTCAGGTCCCAGTTGGCCTGGAGGCTACCCTGTGTGCTGTCCTGATGGGGTGACCTACAGCCTGATCCCAGTGTTTCAGATGCTGTGGGCTAAGGGTGTCTGGAAGGCCCTGTGACTCCACATAACCTCTGCCGCCCAGCTGGGCATAGGTGGCCACATGCAACTGGGGTTGCCCTCTTCACTCTGCTGGTGCCTGCCAGCTCGGACCACTCCTGGTGGTAGTGGAGACACCCACGCCTCCTGCCAGCCCTCATGCTGCTCCTGCCTGTGTTCCTGCTGCAGTCCCCAGAGGAGCAGGAGGCTCACGGGGTCACACATCAGGCCCGGAGAGAGCAGAGAGGGAGTCCGTGGCTGTCTTCAGAATTTGGCTCCCAGAGCACCTTTTGGCCTTGGGTGGACGACAGCACCACCTGCTCTGAAGTGGCAATTAGGATGTCACAGGGCCGTGTGCGTCCATGGGTGGGGAGATCCCAGGTTCTTTTTTCCCTCCAGATGTCAACTTTGGCTCCTGCTTTCTGTAGATTATTCAGTCAAAGGTAAGCTAACCTCTTCCAGGCCCTGGGTGGTGGGGTAGAGGGTACACAGCGGGATGCACCCTGGGGCTCTTCAGGGCATGTAGTACTCCCTAGGGCTCCTCAGTGTTTTCCTAGGACTTCCTGAGGTTCCCCAGGGCTCCTCAGTGCTCTCCAATGTTCCCCAGTGTTTCCTAGTGCTTCTCAGGTTTCATCAGTGCTCCCCAATGCTTCCTTTCACCAGTACTCCCCAAGATTTCCCAGTTTTTTCTAGTGCTCCCCAGGGCTTCCTTAGTGTTCCCCAGGGTTCCTCAGTGCTCACCAATACTTTACCAATGCTTCCCGGTGCTTCCTCAGTGTTTTCAGGGCTCCCTCATGCTTCATTAGTGCTCCTCAGTGTTTCACCAATGCTCCCCAAGGCTCCCCAGGGTTCCCCTGTGCTTCCCCGATGCTCCCCAAGGCTCCTCAGGGCTCCCCAGTCCCTGAGCAGCCTTGCTGACTGTAGTTCCCCAAGCTTTTGATGGACAGCAGCTCCTGGAGGGAAGAGGCTGAGGTTCACCATCTCCCCATTTCTGGAGTGTGATTCCCAGGCAGGTGTTTTCAAAACAGAACTGCATCTATGTATCAAGAGAACATCAGGAAAACCTTCTTCACTTGAGAAATTTTGGGGAAATGGAGGGTAATTGATGAATGGGCCTATGTCCCATGACACTCCTCAGAGACAGAGACGTCATGCAGGGGTACAGGTCACAATCCTCCAAGCAGGGGGTGGGTGCACAGGGTACCCCACACAGCTGACCATGCCGCCTTGTTCCTGAGGGCCCTGTGACAGTGCCTTCTGGAAGATGGGAGAAGCTGTGTGAGGTTGGGTGTGTCTGCAGGCTGGGCTGGGTTAGGCTGAAGTGAGCCTCCCCCACACGTCTCAGGGCTTCAACAATAAAGGTTGACATCCTGTGTTTTTTTCCATACCATCTGCAGCTCCGGACTGAGCTGGGGAACAAACTGAGGTGACAATCATGGTAGAGAAAGGAACATGGGGACGTCTCCACATTCAGGGGCCAAATTGACACATGACCCACGTAACTGTGG